GCAGACTCTATTAGAACACCTCCAACAAAATCCTTCTGGATAACCACTGTCTGCAAATTCACAGTACTTTGCACCACAGTCACAAACACAATCAGAAAAATCCAGTAATAACTTATTATAACGCAACCAGTCCCGTAAAACAGCTTTATTAGAAATCAAAACATGAAGGTCAAACACAGTAAACACCATGGTACGAATACAGAAACTAAAGCTTGGCACCAATGCAGAAACTAAAGCTTGGCGTGGGTACTCACGCTTTATATACCCTTGCCCTATTTACATGCGTTGATTAGCGTCATTGTCCTAAATATTGCACCTCTTAGCGTCATATAACTCTCATCATTAATAAGGTACCATAAACAAAGCCTTAATAAGCCATGCATTGATTTCTATTTACTCCTCTTATGATCGTTTTTCCCCATATATAAGAATGTAACTTAAAATATTTTCTTCACAAATTGATAGCATATAACATGCTATACCCATTACATGCAAAAAAAAACCTTTCATGATTAATTGTAGCTACTTAAACTGCAGATAATTACTATCTCACACAATCATAAAATATTGACCTAATTTAACTAACGGTACTATTACAGTTACAGAATAACAGATTTGACCAGAAGTAGTTCCGGAGAGAGTTCCCAAGTCAGCTAAATTTAGGGAGCAAAAAGTAGTTCCGACCCAATCCGTAAATATGTTTTTGCAATCCTTAACGAGCATTTCAAGTTCTCATTTTAATTTCTCGAACAGCTAAAGTTACACTTTAGCACTTTGTGGGGTCGCTCAATTCATTTTTTAAGTCTAGAAACTCCAAAACGCCCGTTTTTGTCTTTTTTGACCAATACGTTCTATATAGGGAGCCATCCCTTCCATTTATAGCCGTAATATAATCCCGAAATCCCCGCGCATTCATCGGACGCGATGGGGCCTTCGGCCCCGCTGACCCGATCTGCTTGGATCCAGCCAAAAACAGTTCTGAAACTATTGAACATCTTCTTTGTTTCCACCCTTAACCCAGTGTAATAAGCACAATCAACCAATGCTACCCCTCCTTTGCATGTGACCACAATTTAAGGAACTTTTTTGTCAGCTGGCCAACATGATCAGGGTGGCAATCATTGGTCAAGTAAATTTCACATCTCCGGCTACCCAGGAAAGTGTCTGTGCTGGAGTGCGACTCACTTTCACCGGCACGGGTGAAATTTCACATCCACACCACCCTGACCATCTGCACTACTCAGGGCTCACATGAATGGGGTAACGTCTAGATCTACCTCTAAGTCGGAATACCAGTCATTTCGTCACACGGTCATTTAGTCACACCTCAAATCCACAAGGTTGATTGGAGACTGTCTATTCGTAACACACTTAACGATGCAAACATCAAACGCGCATTGTCATGGCAATCGCAAATGTCATGATTTTTGGAGGAGGGTTGGGGCTATGTGTGGTGGAGGGACAGGGGACGGCTGAGGCTGTGCGAGTCATCGTGCCTACCTGATCAGCTACACCGTTCATAAATACGTATTGACAATATTGAAATCTATTGAGTCAGATCAACAAAGTTTTTAGGTATTATTGATGAAAGGTGTGATTTGCAAGACCATATTATTATTAGTTCTACTGTGAAAAATAAATTACCTAATAGAAGTGTACGGTACGTACTGCGATTTTGCTAAAAGCTAGATCCTGACTTTCAAACATAAAGTCTTAATTAACTCTTTACCAGCTATTGTTTTTGCCTTGTTCAAACAATATGTTCAACTATGGAACAGTTTGGACGAACATTTAATTTACGTAACAATTTCTTCAAAAAAAAGCTCTAGGCTGATCCTCCAAAACTCTACTAGCATAACAATTTTGGAGAGACAGGCCTATATATATATATATATAAAGGAAGTAATTTCGTCGCACATAACTGGGGTATGACGAGATGACTGTGTGACGAAATGAGTGGCTACCCTAAGTCGCACCACTTTTATCCTCTTCTCCTTCCCTGGTTTAAGCCGATGGAACCAAAATTAGGAGTTTTGTTTCAAGTCAGGGCTGAGCGGACAAAGCATTTTCTGTCGTAGACAGGTGAAAACCCTCTGAGGGGAGCAATTTCTCTTTCTGTTTCTGAGCTGAGTAGGTTTCTCAGCTGTTCAGTACCTATACTGCATGATAATGTGGAAAGTTTGGAATTTCTCGATTTTCATTTTTAAAATGCTTTTCAAAAGATCTCTACATATGTACACATTCTTTTTTGTGCTAAATCTCATACACATCCCCTTTGACTTATCTTCTAATGAGATGTGCGTACTGATTATGTTTTAAAAAAATTTTTCTTTTCAGGATGACGGACGAAACGTTGCACTTATATCTATTTCCAGCATCATTTTTTTCTCAAAAGGTGAGGTGAATATGTAAAAAAGAAATTGAGTGAAGGAGGTGAAAATTTCAGTGCCCCGGGGCTACTTTTAAAACTATTGTGTAGTGGTGGTGTTTTCATTCACTTTCAATTCTTCATGAATTTGAAATTTATTTTTTTGAACTATTATTTTATTATTTCTTTTCTTGGTCTGTAGTGGTTTTGTTTATGACAATAGTGTATCTTTTAATTTTAAATGCAAACTATAAAAGATGATGGAAATGATTAACTGCTGGAATTTAATATTGAGGAATTAAGTGAAGTTAAAAAAAACCTATAATAATATAAATATATGTAATGAGGGAAGATCAGGGAAATGTAGCTTTTTTAAGAGCATCTGAGCAAAGGACTGAATGGAGAATCATGATTGCCGATGTCTGTCGCAGATCTGGCTCTGGATGAATGAAATATGAATGTACTTTTTAATCCTGCAAGTAATTGATAAGCCTGGATATATTACATCTTCGAATTTAAAGCTAATATCTATGCTGAATTAACCCTATCCATACTTCGTGTTTTACTATCGTATCCCTACGACGTGGGGAACTCTGTGCCACCACTTTCCAACGAGGAAATTTACTCGTTAATCCGATCCGTACGCTTTGCATAGCAGTCTGTTAATGATTTTTTTAGAAATACTGAAAATTTCAGAGATCTTCGCTCTAGAAGTATTCTAAAATGTGAAGAATGCAAGCTTGGGGGTACAAAATGACCCCATGGCGTACGGATAGGGTTATTAACCCTGAAGCTTTCAATTTTATCTTGTTAAGTATGTTTTACTTTCAAATTTGTATAGGCTTATGTTGAATTTCATTTGGTATTCTGATGGTTCATCTTTATATATTTTATGTGTTTTTAGATGACTTATTTCTGGGTCACCAAACTTTTTTCAAAGGAGGTTGGATAACTGTGAGGGGATGCCAAGCATGGGCTGGATAACTTTTTTATTCAGTAGGCTACTCTAGACTGATGTGTTAGATGAAATGTTTTTTACATAAAAGCTGAGAAAGAATGTGATACTTTAACTAGAAGTTATGAAGTCTATAAAGTAAGTTCAATGAAATTGTGTTGTAGAGTCCAATGAAATTATTAAATTATAATGGTGACGTAGTCCTGAACACGCTACAAACACATCTTTAAAGTTTTTTTGTTACATACGTGACATGTCAGCTGATCAGACAAACTGACTTGCAGGCCATAACTAGCCAGCAAACTGTAGTTTAGTGACCCCTCCGACTTCTTTTCACTGTGAAAGCCATGTTATAGTTCAAATCTAGGAGGGCTGTTGGTGCCGCTTTTCGTAAGAATCAGAATAAGATGATACTGTTGAGCACCCATTTCTCGAACATGTTTGGGAAGTCAAATGAGTTCGACACATCCATAATTTAAAAAAAAAGGAGTTCTACACTCCATTATTTCTGTTGTGAAATATGATTTTTTTAATGACATCGTAAAGTTTTATTCATGTTGTCATACAAGAACTTTTAGCTTTGTGAACTTCTGATTAATTTTGATCTGAGGTCAGTAACTGGGCCCAAGTCATTTCAAACAATGTCAGCCTTTTTATTCTTGGTTTCCTTCCCCAGATTCGCATTGCTCTGGAGGAGAAGCAGCTGAAGTATAAAGAGACCTTCATAAGCTTGTTTGCCAAGGAGCAGAATGAAGTGTGGTTTCTGCGGATAAACCCTCAAGGACAGGTTCCAGTGCTAAAGATTGGTGATGCTATCGTCACAGACTCAGAGCGCATCTTGGAAGCAGTTGATAAATTGGAAAGTGGCAAAGGTGTTGCAGAAGCTGGATTTTTTGTGTGTTCCACATGTATTGAGAGCTTTTTCTGAGATAACAACTTTTGTTTTAACAGATTTCTCTCTCTGTGTCTCTTTCTCTTTGTCTCTGTGTCCTTCATTGCCTATCTTTTTTTTCTCACTTGCGCCGCCCTCATAATCTCCTTCACTGCCCATCTCTTTTTCTCTCTTGCCCCACCCCTTCATCTCCTTCTCGTCCGTCTTTTTTTCTCTTACACACCCCTCCTCGAAACTTTTAATTGGCGAAGGAAGAGAAGTGAAATTGAGTTAAAACTGTCAATCGTGTCCACTTCACAATGAATTCAACAGTAGCCCCACAGCCCTGAGTTTTTCACTTGTCTTAGAGAAGTTAAGTATTTGTGCAGCCTAAGCTTGGTTAATTTTTGAGAGAAATGTCCCCCACTTTCCTGTGATATTCCCAAGCTGTTCAAGCTGACCGTGTGCCTTTTATAGATATATATTCTGTGTGGAAGGATCTTCTCCAACATGAACTTTATTTAGTCAAAGAACGGATCCAAACTTACTGATGAGCACCTTTATTCCTTTTAGTTCCTACTTTCTTGCTTTTTCAAACCAAAAATGGTTGAGCTATGTAAGAGGAAGAGCTGTCAGGTTTCTGACAGCTAGGAATAGGATTACCGGTAATAGAAGCCCATTTTCCGAAGAACTATGCATGTTCTGACATACTATTGATGAAGATTTAGAGGATTAAATCAGTTGTACCGACATTTTTAAGAATCCTATAAACCTTTTTTTTTTGGGGTGGAATTTATGATACGGCCCAGGCTCTCCATGACTTTACCTCCAGCTGCCTGCCTGAGTGTTATTTGAGTGTGAGACTTCCTGCTCTAAAACATATAAGATGTATTTGTGGGGGGGAGCCTCATAAATGAACCTGAAGATAAGCTTTTTGGCTTTGATTTGCTTGTTCTTTGTAATTCTGGTTACTTAGTTTTAATACAGTCATTTACTTTTATGTTTCAGGCAAAAGACTTGTTCCAGATGTAAGCACAGAGGAAGGCAAATTAGTATCTGAATGGAGGAAGAGATTCAATTCTGTTGATGTTGAGAATCTCTCCTATGGTGTGATGTTGAACACAGAGCTTGTACCAGATAAGGCAAAGGTTAAGGCCTTGACTTCTGGAATGACCCTGAAAGGTAACGTTTGCCAGCAAGAGGCATATCATCTTATCCCAAGTATTTCCTGCGCTCTGCTCCTTGTGGACTCCCATCCTACTCCCATCCTGTTATTTTACCCCCTCACATGGACTTACAAAAATAAGAATTCTGAGAAGTACTGTATTCACCACAGCAATATATGGATGTGAAGCATGGACATCAATGAACAAGATACAAAAATGATGACAGCTTTCTAAAGGAAACCAATAGAAGAACTTTTAAAATACTGGAAAATAAAAAATGAAGAAGTACTCAGAAGCACTGGCAAGATATGCAGGCACTCCTCCAGAACATAGTGATACTGAAACTGAATTACTTTAAGCATATGAAATGCCATAATCCACCCGAGGAACATATTCTGAAAGTAAAGGTAGAATTCAAGAGAGGAAGTAAGAGACCTTGCAGACGAAAGAAACAAAACAAAGAAATTTGGCTTGCAACCGAACCAACTTGGGCAGACAGAATGGCAAGAGTCAGAAAGTTTTATTGGAAAGAAGCAGCGTCCAACAACTGGAAAAGCTAAGAGGAAGAAGAAGTAATTATCAATTGAGTAGAGCCATGTCGGTGAAAATGGGAAATATCAGTCGAAGGTACCGCTTGCTTGACTCAGAGGAATGTTTATTTTGAAAGAGGCATGACCACATCTTTGCTCTAATGATGATGGAAAATGATAGAGATGCCCTTTATTGACCTAAGTAAATTTGAGCTTATTGTAATGCAGGTATCATTGAAACAATTGGGAACTGATTTTATTCAGCTTAATTTATACCTTTAATTTATCACCCCTGTTTTGGTATTGTCGTTGAATCTCAAAATGTTATTGTCACCTGTTTTCTATTTCATTCTTTTGTTACAGGAAGCATATCAGTGTCCACGTTTAGATTCTGGAAAGACTTTAAAGTTGTGGATGAGATTGTTGATGAGGCAATTGTATGCTTTTTTCTGTATTTTTTTTTTTTTGGTGTTGTTCATTCATACTTGCATCAACACTTTGTTATATGTGATAGACTGAAGAAAAAAGTGTTAATTATTTTTTTGGTTTAAAATTGCTGGTTGTAAATTATTTTTTGATTTTAATTTTGGCAGGATACCATGAAGGTATGCAAAAGGCCATTGCTGATCTGGAAGCCAAGAAGGAAAAAAACCCAGACTTAATTGATGCTCTTGATGCTAAAATTGCCACAAGCCAGGGTCGTTTGCAAAATCAGTTTCTGAAAGAAGATATTGAAAAAGTTCTGAATGATGTAGAAAAGGTCCTTGATGATGTGGAAATTCAGCTGAGGAAAAGCAGAACAGGTAAGCAGAGAGAAAATTTGCCTTGTCTATTGAACAAAAATCATAATTTTGTTTTTCAATGATCATTGCAAAATGCATGGGGTATATTGGTTTTTTTTGGTATATTGTTTTTTTTTCTTCATGATCAAAGGAAAATGTAGATGTTTCTATATTAGTCACATAAATAAATTCTCTAATGTTCCTTTTTGCTTTCAGTGTATTTTCACTTTGAAGAAATTTCAATCAGATTTTGTTGTATGTGAATTATCAAGTCCCTGCATGGGGCACAGGGATGGGATTTTTGGAAATAAATCTCACTCGTTAATATTATTAATATAAAAAGTTATTTGAAAGAAAAAAGCACTAATAAATTATGTAGTTATAACTTAAGGGCTGGAAAGATAGCGGGGAGGAACTAACCGAATAATATTTATTCAAGTATAGAGTATCTGGAAAATTGATATTGATACTTTTCCCCTTTGACAGTGAGAAGCATTCTTTGACTATTTTGACTGTATTTGCTGGCAGCAAACAGGCCTGAACAAGCTCGGGAGTACCAGAGTTTATTCAAAAAGACATGAATGGAAAATTATGTAAAGTGTCTTATCCAAGGAAAGAACATTAGACCCCTAATCATGCTGAATGCACATTGACAAACTGCGCTGGATGAACTGCAAGACAACTGAAGTGAGCACAGCTAATCACTCATTGATCTATGTAAGATAAACTTATGCAGTCGCACTGAACTACCAGACCTGTTAGAGAGCCTACTTAAGCAGGGGTGTGTTGATTTCCCGAGTTTCCTAACACAGGGTTTATAAATTTGTCTCTTAATATGTGTGTGTGCCTGGTGAAAGGGACCACATGTCGCATTTTCTCAAACCGAGATATCAGGCTTCAAAGGTCAAAAATAGAATTTTTGACAAAAACTAAGTTCCATTAAAAATGGATTCTTCAGCCATTTATTTATTGATATTTACAAGGATTTGGGTTATTTTGACTTTGAAATACATTTTAAAAGGTGTTTTTTAACCCGAGGTATATTGCATAATCCCAAGAAATGCGTGAGGAAACTGGCTTTCAGGGTAAACACTGCGGATGGTTTCTCTTGTCCATTGATAAAGTCGACCCAATCACATTGCATACGAAAATTTAGGTCATTCTCTCTGCTCTCCAATGGCAGGTAGTGCGCATGAATATCTAGAACATGTAAACAAAGCGAAACTTTGCGCATCCATACCCTTTTGTTTCTTTGGAGAACAAACTTGTATCGCCTATTTCTGCCCTGTGCAAACCATATTTCTTGAAATTCCTGTTCAATGTGGTGGAGGATTTGTTTTGAAAACGTAATATAAACACTTTGAAGCTGTTCTTTTATTGTAGAGCTGCTTTTTAAAGTTAGTTTGTGAGAAGCGACTGTGTTGTCAGGTCGTCTTGAAGCACAACAACACGGCGGAGCTACCAGCTGTTACTACTACCAGTACTGTTAGTAGTAGATCTAGTACTAGATTTAGATCTAGATCTAGTACTGCTATTCGTGAGCAGGAAATTGTGTCTCTTCTCAATTCTCTTAGACACATTGGAATGTCAGAATGGCAACTGAAGAAGACATTAGAGATGTAATATGCGATTATTTCGTTTCTGACGTCGATTTGGGAGAAGAGGAAGAAGATGAGTTCGATCTGTGGTGCCATCGCCAGTTCCAGACCCTGCACTTGAAGCAGAACCGAGCGAAGCCGGTAAAGATTAACAACAACAAAAACAACAGTGATGATAGAAATAGATTTAGATTCAGCAAACTAATAATTATTTATTATAATGATAATTAATAGTAATAATTATCATTACGCTGTTCTTTCTTGATAAACCTAGATCTAGATCTAGTTTAGATCTAGCTTACTCATAGTAGTGCATTTTTGTTTTCTTAATTCTAAATGTATGCAGAACAAAATTTCATTTTTTCCTGGGAGAGTCTGGGTTCT